TTTTCTTGCAAACATTTCGTTACCCAGCTAGGTAACATCTTCAGTGCTAGAATGGAATGGGCTTTTGCTCCCTGTTTACGTTTGTAAGAAAACAACCAAGGACTCCACAGTTCAACCCTGAGCTACACATATTTGCTTCTATTGGCTGCAAATATTTCATTAAGAATTGAATTATTGTTATAGTCTGATAAGCAGTGTGTCAGGCCCATAAAACAAAAACAAAAAATAAGTTCCCAGGTGGGCTTGATAATGGATCCTACTACCAAGGAGAACATTTCCATTCCTAAGATAGTGACGTGTCCCAACTAACTTCTGTACCTACAATGACAATAAGCTTTTATTATAGTCTACCGAGACTACTGGTTTTAAACATACTACTCTTCTTATCTTCTCAACCCTGAACTCAAGCTCCATTCAGGAGTTCAAAACAGCTTAACAAAATGCCAGGTGCGTTAAGCAAACAAAATATCAGGAGTATACCAGTGCATTCACCACTGGCAAGGGGATTTTCTAATTGGGAAGCCCCCACTTTTCTCCGAGCTTATAATAAAGTGGGGATTTCCTCCCATACCATCCAGATAGATTTTAAGTACAGTATATACATAGGTATACTTGAAACATCTTGTTTGGTATGAGGGAGAATCTTAGTGTGGGGAAAATCAGGGGCTAAGCAGGATGAGAAAGAGCTCGCCCTCCTCTGGAGCCTGCAAAAAAGAGGACGATTTCCATCCTGTAGCCCAGTTTTGGAACACTAAGAAACAAGAGCTTTTCATTAGGTCCACTTCAAAGGAGAAAAATGTTAACCTCCCTTCCCCCACTTGTTGCAGCCTCGGTAATTACTAGGCTCCCTAAGTTTTTTTTTAATTTTAATTATCATTCTTTCCTTTCCAGACGAATGTATGGTACCAGGTGAGCCTTCCAGGGGAAGAGTGATCTCCCATTCGGAGATCCTATCCTGGGGCCTAGGTGTCCAGAGTGGCCTCAAGGTACTGCTGGTCAATTCCAAATCTGTCTGTAACGACGACTGTGTCCATCCATGACTCAGTGGTGGACAGACAAACAGACCTGGCTTGTATCACGAAGATCAGGCTGGGCAAGGGCAGTGATGTCTTATCTATTGCCTCGGGAGGCTGTCATCCAGCAGTCTTGTTTAGGGTCACTAATCCCCTTTTGGGGAGGACTCAATATCTTCCTGGCTGCTTTGAACAATTAGCACAGCACTTTGCCAACAAAGTAGCTCAACCTACATGATCTTTCCAGGAGAATCAGCTCATGCCCCCCCCCTTTTAGGAGATAAGGGGAGCTGAGGCTAAGAGGCACTTCTTAGTGATAGCATCAGCCTTTTGGAAAGGCTTCCCAGTTGAAGTTAGATTG